ATTATTCAAACCAAGCATCAATTCCATTAGTCAGTCTCTCCTTTGCTGTCAAAGATGCAAATACAGGCTAGTGCTGTTGGGAGTAAATGTATCATCTGAACAGGAAATGTGTCAGGAGATATTAAATGATATGAGGTATCATTCTGAAACAAAATCAAATAAATGGATGGTTTCTTCTCTAAGAAATGGGGATGTTTTATTTATAATTTCTGAATTTAAGAGTTCTTTGTTGTTAAAACCGTAAAGATTTTTTTTTTTTTTTTTTTTTGTATTCTTAGCTCATGAAGGATGGTGATGCTTAGGCTATCTGGTTCTAATCAAAAATCAAAACATACATTTGGAGGAACGAACTGACTCAATGGATGAATGAAAATGTAAGCATGAGTATTTAACTTGCCAACAATACACAAAAAAATATTTTTGATCTCTTAACATTTCTCTGGGTGTTCTAGAAAATATGAAATAAACATGCCATTCTAAATTCCCAAACATTCTCTAATAAGCCATATTTATGTCCATGCTCAGGAGAAAGAGATACTTCAGCCTACTGAATTCAGGTGAAGGCCTGTTGTCATTACTGTCATGAGAACAGACATTCTTGTATGACTAACACCTATATGCTTTCATCAATACATATCAACATCACACGTTTTGAGTCCAAAACACAGAGATAAGTTATACCATATTTTATATATGAAACTTGGAGCCATCTTTCTAGGCATGACCTTCACCAGAGGCTAAGTATCTAATAAGAATATTATTCCATTTATTTAAAAGAATTAAAGATTTGCCTAGCCAGAAATTGATTCTGTTAAAAAAAACCAGTGGCATTAGTTCAAGTTATTGATAGCAAAAAATAATTCATTTGAAAATACAAATAAATAATAGAAATATTGTGACTTGTTGGATTGATGATACAGGTTTTATTTAAACCCTAGTAGACATGTACTCGAACCACTACCTGCTTATTTTAATTTACTATTATTATTTATTAAATGAATATTTTCAAGTTTACACTTGGTGACTCCATGGATTCCTTAAAGACTTGAATTTAGAAAACAAATTATTTATAGTCAAATCAAAAAATAGCTATTATTCACTCAATATATTTATTTATGTGTTTTTTTTTCTCATCCTAAATCTTAGTTTCATTTGTTTTATTTGTGGTATTGTATCTGCTGTTCTATTAAGTTATAAAAATAGTTATACTGTTAAACTTGTTCATTTTTAGCCAACAATCCATTTATTTCTAAACTTGTTCTTTTTTCAAATCATATGTGGCATAAGAATTTATAAATCTCATCTATGGATATCGCCACAAAGGCTAACAACTCTCTGTTGCATCTAAAGCTATTTTGCATATTTACATAGACTCTCTAATCAGAGTTCTAAAGTGATAAGCAATGCACAAATGATAATACCATGAGAGATGGATGACCCCCACTCCATATAGTTTCTTTTCATATTGGAGCACAATAGTGGCACATACTGGCCTACCTTGTTTTATCTTTTATCTCAGAATCAGTAGATTCTGAAAAGTGAAGTTAAGGCTGGCTGACAGACAATTCTTTCTGCAATTCAGTCTAGTTTATAGAGAGGAAAGGCTTCTAGGCCATGATTGTGACCTCAACAAGGACGAACATTAGATAGAAAATGGGGAAACATGTGGAAGAGGCCAAATGTTAGAGGGAAGCTGCTCCTTCCTTTAAAACCAAAAGAGTAATTTCAAGAGTTAGAATAAGATACTGGGGTGAGGTAAGATATTAACAGCTTCAGATAAAATCTCTAGAAAAATGCTTTCATTTAGTTTTTCTTTCTTCTTTCTCGTTGTCATTATTATTATTATTATTACCATAATGTTCATTATTACTTTTGAAATTGTGATAAATATTTTTCTCCTTCCTTTCCTTCCTCCAAACTCTCCCATACACTCCTGTCTTACTGTTTCAAACCCATGACCTATTTTTTTTCAATAATTGATATTACATATATATTGTGTTGCTACATTTACACACATATACATTCCTTAATGTAAAATTACAATCTATTCAGTCAGCTTGATGTTACTTGTATGTTCATGTTTACAAGGCTGACCATTTAGTATTGAATATCCAACAAGTTTACCTGTCTCTGAACAAGGATTATAACAACAGACATGATAGCGTGAACAGGAAAATAAGCTAGGAAGTTCTCAACCATAAGCAAAGAATTACTAGCCATTAAGGAATGTTAGGAGAAGAAATACCCTTCTTCTGAGGAAAATAATGAGAGTAACTTTTAATTTCAGTATATTCAAGCAAGCTAAGGCCAAGTGTGTTTCATAGAATTTGGAGTGGGAATTTTATTTTGCAATTTGTGCTTCCAAGTTATATTCTACTTTTTTGTTGTTTTAGTGAAATCATACATAAATATTTGTGATTTTTTCAAAGACTATTTTTCCATATTGTATTTAAAGTTGCTTTGCTCCTTTTTATTAATGGAAATTTGAGGAAAGGTGGTTTTTCTCTTGAACATATGGGGAATCATACATTTAACAACTAATTGCTTAAAATTGACAGGAGTTCATCTATTCTTATATTTGAGCATAAATATTTAATTTCAATGTTCTAAATGATTTATAGATGCAAACATTTGGCAAGAATATGCTTTGACATTCTAACCATGGTTTACCTATAAACAGCAAAGAGGAAATCCATAGGGCTGTGCTACATCCATTATGATTGCATTTCAGATGCCATACACGCTTATTATATTGGGAAATCCTCAGTATTTAAATTAATGTTTATAATAATATAATGCATGTAAGATATACATATACATATGCTATTTATGACTATCATGGTAAAAGAATCAGAGAGAATTATATCATGAAAATCATTTTTGCCACATCTTATTTCTAATGTACTTATTAAAACATTTAATAACTGTTCTGGAATACGAGTGCTGAAGACAGAAACAGAAATTATATACTCATTTTATAGTATACTGTGTTAGGTTCTTGTCCTCAAAAGAAGAAAACTTACTCATCCTCCAACTTACCTGTGCTTTCTTTTCAATTGAAAACAGAGTGTTTTTTCATTCAAGGTAATTCTGATTATGTTTCCTCCTCCCCCAAATCCTCCCAGATCTGCCCTACCTCCATATACACCCAAATACACACCAAATACACACCCTTTCTTTCTCTCTCTCATAGGAAACTAATCAACTAATATTAATAATAATAACAAAACGCCTATAATAATATAAATCAAAAGAAAACAAGAATAGGACAAAACAAGCAAACAAGCAAATAAAAGAGCCAAAGAAAGAGCACAAGAAATGCATATAAACATAGAGACACACATATTTGAAAACAGAGATGTCCCATAAAAACACAAATCTGGAGTATATATAAGCAGAAGACCTGTAATGTTCAAAATACAGAAATACCCAGACAAAACATTATGAGACAAAAGTTTTCCCAAAATACTATGGAGTTTGTTTTGTGTTGGTCATCTACTACTACGCATTGAGCCTGGCCTTAAGAGTGGTTTGTATACTCAATGATATTCCACTGGAGAAAACTGTTTTCTGAATAGTTAATAGTTGAAGGTAGTCCCAAAATTACACATTTTCTCAGGACTTCATCTGCTTGCTACCATTCACATGGTAAAGGAATCAACTCCTCTAAGTTGTCCTCTCTCCTCCACATGAGCTCTGGTATGTCCATATACACAAAATTTAAACAAGTACAACATTGAAGGGCATTAGTATTAATGTTTATGGCTCCCATCTACTCATAAGTTGAAATGTTAAGCTCCAAGGATCTTACATTCTTCCTTATTACAGGTAGGGCCTTCTAGGAGCTGAATACTGGATCCTACAAGTGACATTCCTGTTCTAGGACACACATATTTTCCTATTGTGTGAGGCTACAGGGGATAGTGGTATCTATAAGCAAATCTGTCCTCTTTAGACATGGGAATTGGTAACTTTACTGCTGGTTTCCCAGAACTATGACAAATGACTGGTACCTGAAAAACCACACGAGATCTAAGCCAGTTTTCTCAGAAATAAGCATGTAGATATGAAAAATAATCACTGCATAATGTGATGTTTTTCATATGCTGACAACAAAATTTCCTCTTGGTGTTACATGTGCTGAAGTAGTAATTGTCAGAAGGGAGATGACACATGACAAGAGATTCCACAGATTAATGATCCTCTCAATATCTGGGAAATTTTCATTGGTTTATCCAACAAATATTATTTATATGTTTTAAATTTTTCCCTTCTGAATAAAATATGACTTTGTTCCAACTATCCTCTCTAGTTAATTTTATCAAGTTCTGTTATTTTCCACAACTATCCATGAAGCAATTAATTAAAATGTTGTATCAGTGGTTACAACTGTTAACACATTATTGCATCAAGAAATTTTTCATGTGTAAATACTTTTAAATGTCTCATGGTATTATTGGAAAATTAAACATACATGTTGAATTAAATCTCTTTGGTTTAAATAGTAGCTCTGCTAGTGGTATTTCTTTTTATGTTTACTTTTTTTCTTTAAGTTGGTTCTTATGAGTGCAGTGTGTATGATAGTGTGCATTTGCAAACAACAATGCATGTTATCTCTTGATAACTCTTATGTGGAAAGTGGGTCCTTACTGAAGCCAGTTAAGGAGGTAACAGGGCCTTAGATTATTGAGGTATCCTCTGAAATAAATGCTATAGTTCAGGGGGATCTTGTGTTAGTGAAACACAGAATTACAAATTATCACCACCTTATTTAAGATTATAAGTACAGGTTGGAGAGCTGGCTCAGCAGTGATCAGCAGTTGCTGTTATAGAAGTCTCAGGTTCAGTTTCCAGCAATCACAGGGAGGCAATCACTCTTTATTCCAGCTGCAAGGGAGCTGATCCTCTCTCAGGCTTCCTGGGAAACAGTTAATACACACAGGTTAATATACATTATGTAAATATATGTACACTTAAAATATCTTTAAAATTATAAGCTAGTGTTGTATGAAAGGAGAGAAGGTTAGCACTCCCCTTAACAAGGATAGAAAAGACCCTTGGGACTAAAACCACACATATGGTTAAGGCGTTGCCACCTTCTTCATGGGATCTAACCACTGTTTTTATACCAGAAATTCAAAGAGCAGCTAATACCAGTACTCCTCAAATTGTTCCACACAATAGAAGCAGAAGGTTCATTACTAAACACTTTTTTTAAAATTTATTTATTTTTTATTTTACATGTCGATCCCAGTTCCCTTTCCCTTCCTCGTTCCCTCCTTTTTGCCCTCTCTCCCCCATCACATGCACCCTGACCACCCTCCCATCACCCCACCCACATTCCATATGTAGGGCTATGCCATCCAGGTGGGGTCATGTAAATCTGACAAGTCCTTTGAAATAGGGACTAGGACTTCTCTCCCGTCTCTAGGTTAAGGGAATATCCCTCCATGGGAGATGTGTCCACAAGGTCCTTTTGTGCACTAGGAATACATCCTGGTATGAGGCTACAAATACCTTGGTACCCAAGCCACACAAAGACACAACTAAGAAAGAGACCTACAGACCAATATACCTCATGAACATTGATGCAAAAATACTCATTAAAATACTGGCAAATCAAATCCTAGAACACACAAGATAAATCATCCACTATGACAAAATAGGCTTCATTTGAGGGATTCAGGGATGGTTCAATATGAAAATCTATCAATGTTATCCATCATATAAACAGTAACCAACAGCCAACATAAAATTGAATGGAAAGAAGCTTAAGGTGATTCCTCTAAAATCAAGAACAAGACAAGGCTGCCCCTATCTCCATGGCTCTTCAGTATTGTACTTGATTTTGTAGCTAGAGCAATAAGGCAACAAAAGGAGATTAACTTGATACAAATTAGAAAGTAAAAAGTCAGACTGTCACTATTTGCAGATGATATGATACTTTATAAAAGTGACCTGAAAAACTCTACCAGGGAACTCCTACAGCTGATAAATACCTTCAACAAATTAACAGGACACAAGATTAACTAAAAAAAAAAAAAAAAAAACAGTAGCCCTACTATATACAGACGATAAAGGGACTGAAAAAGAAAGCAGAGAAATGTCACCCTTTACAATAGCCATAAACCACATAAAATATCTTGGGGAAATGCTTACCAAACAAGTGAAATACCTATATAGCAAGAAATTTGTGTCTTTAAAGAAAGAAGTTTTAAAAAAATACCAAAAATGAAAAGATCTCCCATGCTCTTGTATAGGTAGGATAAACACAGTAAAAATGCCAATCTTGCCAAAACCAATCTACAGATTCAATTCAATCCCCATCAAAATCCCAGCACTATTCTTCACTGAACTTGAAGGATAATACATATATATATATATATATATATATATATATGTATATGTATATGATAGCCAAAACAAAACCCTGTAAAATAAAGAAATTTCAGGAAGTATCACGATCTCTGATTTCAAGCTCTACTATTAAGGTATAGACCTGAAAATACCTTGGTATTGGCACAAAAATAGACAGGTAGACCAAAGGAATCCAATTGAAAATACTGATATTAACTTATACACCTATGAACACCTGATTTTTGAAAAATATAAAACAAAATAAAATTACACATTTGAAGAAGGAAAGCATCTACAACAAATGGTGCTGGCACAACGGGATGATGCTATGTAGAAGATGGCAGATCGGCATATAGACTCATGTCTATTGCCATGCACAAAACTCAAGTCAAAATAGATCAAAGACCTCATCATAAATACAGACACATTGAACCTCTTAGAAGAGAAAGTAGGAGGTACCCTTGAATGAATTGGTACAGGAGATTGCTTCCTGAACATAACTCCAGTAGCAGACAGTGATATCGACAAATAATAAATGGAACCTTGTGAAAAGGAGAAGCTTCTGAAAGGCAAAGTAAATAGTGGACAAGACCAAATGTCAGCCCAAAGACGGGGAGAGCTACACCAACCCCACATCTGACAGAGGGCTGATTTCCAAAATATTCAAAGAAAAGAAACTAGTTACCAAAACAACAAATATCCCAAGAAAAAGTGTGATACAGAACTGAATAGAGAATTCTCAAGAGAGGAATCCAAAACAACTAAAAGACGCTTAAGAAAGTGCTCAACATCTTAACCATCAGAGAAATGCAAATCAAAACAACTTTGAGATACCATATTAGTCCTGCCAGAATGGCTAAAATTAGAAACACTAGTGAAAGCTTATGTGGAGAGGATATGGAGAAAGGGGAACACTCCTCCATTGCTGGTGGGAGTGCAAACTTGTATAGCCATTTTGGTGATCATAATGGCGGTTCCTCAGGAAAATGGGAATCCGTCTATACAGGATCTGGCAATTTCACTCTTAGACATATACTCAAAAGATCCACATCCATGCAATGAAGACCTGATGGGAGATGCGATTCTGTAAATATATTTCTCATACTGGTTACTGAATAAAGCACTGTTGGCCAATAGGAAAGGAGATAGGAGGGACTAGGAGACAAGGAGGAAAGAGGAAATAGTAAGGAGGAGTCAGGATGGAGAACCTGGAGAGAACAGAACTGCCATTCCTCAGCTCTCGGTATGACCATGTGGAAATACATAGAAATGGGTTAATAATAAAGACAGAGCTAGCCGATAAGAAACTAGCACCTGGCCAATAGCATTGTATCAAATACAGAGTCTCTGTGCATTATTTGGGGCTGGCATGGCGGCGGGACAAGACCAGTGGCGGTGGGCTGAAAAACCGTACACCTTACAAAGACCTGTGTTCAACTATGTTCATAGCAACATTATTTGTAATAGCAAAAACCTGGAAACAACCCAGATGCCCCTCAACTGAAGAATGGATAAAGAAGATGTGGCACATCTACACAATGGAATACTACTCTGCAGGAAAAAAAAATGGAATCTTGAAATTCGCAGGCAAATGGCTGGAACTTGAAGAAACCATCCTGAGTGAGGTAACCCAGTAATAAAAAGAGGAACATGGTATGTACTCACTCATATATAGATTTTTAGACGCAGAGCAAAGAATCACCAGCCTATAATTCATACCACCATAGAAACTAAGATACAAGGAGGAACCTAAGAGATTCATACAAGGTCCCTCACAGAAGGGAAAAAGAACAAGATCTCCTGAACATATTGGGAGTGGGGAGGGGGAGTGGAGAGGAAGTTAGGAGAAAGAGAAAGGGAGGAGAGGACATTGTATGGGACCAGGAAGATTTTGTCAGGGGACAAACAGATAAGAGAAAGAGAGAGAGGAGAGAGAGAGAGAGAGAGAGAGAGAGAGAGAGAGAGAGAGATTATAATAGAGGGAGCCATTATAGGCTTGAAGAGAAAACTGACTCTAGAGTAATGTCCGGAAGAGACCTATAAGGATGACCCCAACTAACAATCTGAGCAACAGTGGAAAGGCTACCTTAAATGCCCTTCCCTAATAATGAAATTGATAACTAACTTACCTGCCATATAGAGCCCTCAGTTGGTACCTGATGGATACAGAAACTTGTCTCCAACGTCTGGAATCCAGTTGCAGAGAGGGTGAAGAGATAAGAAAGGGGACACAACCAGGCTACAGAAACCCACAGAGACAGCTGACCTGAACAAGGGGGAGCTATGTATCCCCAGACTGATAGCTGGGAAACCAGCATGGGACCAACTTATAACCCCTGGACGTAGGTCTCAGAAGGCCTGGGCAGTCTAAGGGAACCAGGATGTATCCCTGGTGCAAGAAAGAACTTTAGGAGCACATCCCCCATGGAGGGATACTCCCTTAGCCTATAGACAGAAGATATGGCCCAGGCCCTACTCTAAATGACTTGACAGATTTTGATGACTCCTCCTGGAAGGCATACTTTTCCTGTGGAGCAGATGGGAATGGGATGGAATGGGGGGTGGGGAGCATGGGAGGTAGAGGGAACTGGGAACTGTGATCATTATGTAAAATAAGTGTATATACATATATACATACATATATACATATATATACATATATGTATATATGTATATATAGTCACAGACAATGAACTTTTCAGAATGGAGAAAATAATAAAAGCTAACATCAAAAATATTACTTATCCTCATGTTTTCTCCTCTAGTTTCTGACACCCACAAATTCCTTCTTAGGTTATAATGAGTTTTTGATAACCCCCTGTTAGTGTGCAAGAATCCTAGAAGGTAGAGTGTTTTTTGTTTGTTTGTTCATTTTCTAACTTATATAACACAATGCATGTCAAATAAGCTACCAATATTTTATGAATGCTTCAACTTTTGATACAAAAAAATTTTGGTAGCATAGGAAAAAAAAAGCAAAGCTACACACAAAAAAAATCATTTTTAGTTACAATTCAGTTATCTGAAAGCATTAGAGGCATAATATTATTTGTAAGCAAATAGAACATTTTATTAATAGTTTTTTCCCTGCAAGATGTATTCATATGGCCATATTCACAAGTCTTATACCACTGAGATGATTCTCTATATTCATGTCTTCCTAGCATCCCTTGAGAGACCTGCTCTTTGAAAAGATCTCTTCTTTGATAATGCAAAATAGAAGGGTGACCTTTCCATTTATCCTCCTTTGGAAGTTCCCATTTTCCATTCATAATTAGCATCATTAAACTATAAAGAGAAAGAACGCATCAGCATGATACGATTTCACACCAAGGCATGGGTGAATTATAGCTCTGCTTAACCTCAAGTAGTACTGACATTTAAAACATTGAGCCTCTTAAGACACATGCATAAATCTCTTATGTTGGAATTTCAGAGGAAATGTTTTTGAGCAAAAGGTTCTTCACAGAGCTAATAAAAGTGTAACATTAGGGTGAGAAGAGTCATGATTCAATTTAAAGTCATCCTTGTGCTTTCAATGGACAGTCTGTCATGACAGTTGATACTTGTTACCTCACCATTACTTGCCATTAACATCATCATCCTGGCCTTTCCACACCCTGACTTGCAGTGTAATCTTTTTAACAGAAAGAAGGTACTCTACTTCTCTTTCTATCCATTCAAAAGCTTATTCATCAAGCATACTATGAGTGTTCTTCCATATAATGGCAATACCTAGACACAAATATCCCCCACCCCACAGTACCAA